TTTAATTATTATAGTTGTTGGATTTAAATTTGAACCGTTAAATCTATATTTTTACCGTTGAATTTAGTCATATATATTAGATCTTCGCCGTTGGATTCATAAATTTATAAATATAAAACTAAAAAAAATACACATATATGGTGGACCAACACTAACTTTGGGGAATTCTATCCTAAATTTGCCCTAAAAATGAATTTTGGGTTAAAACTTATTTTGGCCCAAGACTTGGAGTAATTTTTCGGTGTACCCGGTACACCAAAAAAATTTGGTGCACCCTCACTTTTTGTACACCAAAAAAATTCTAATGAGTGAGGGTACACCAAAAAAATTTGGTGTACCCGGTACACCTAAAAATTTTCCCAAGACTTGGACCAAATTGAGATAGATTTAGAACCTAAAATTTAAGTTTTACTCTAAGGATTAGAATAGATCTGAGTTAATTAACGAAGGGGTGAGTCATTGAGTGAATGAACCTAGTGTATTATTTGATCATGGTTCGTACATTAATTAGTTCATCATTTCATTCTCCCATATGTTTCACGAGCCACAATAACGTGAATGAGTAGAATTGGTACCATGATTTGAAGATAATGATTATCTTTTCTTCTCTTTTCGGTTCCCGAAATAAAATAAACTCTCCCATTTGTTTCTTGGTGCACGATAAATGTATATACCAGTTTAATTCCGTGCCACATAAACAAAAGGAACATATGGGCTGCAGTATTTTTGTTTGTGTCCATAAGAGAAATGTGTGGTGCCTGTTTTTTTTCATAGCTGAGAACGATATTTAATCTCATCGTAACCATAAGACATATGGGAGCCGACCAAAAAGCAAACAAAACATATGGGGAGCAGAAGAGGGAAGATATGAAACGTATGGGAAATCGAGTTTCTTGCTCGTAGTTGCATGCCTAACATGTATAGAAGCATATGCTGGCCATGCACGATCAACGCGTTGCAGGTTCTAAAAGTTGACTGTTGTTGGCAAGGACGGAGCTAGTGTAGGCCTAAGGGGGGCGGATGTCCCCACTTATTTAAAAAAAATGTATGGTTGCGTTCCAATTCTCAATAACCAGTCCTAATTAAACTATAATTAAAAAAATTGGTAGCCAACTAAACTAGTCTACCGTTTTGGATCCCAAATGCCCTACCTGATGACAATTTAATTAACAATTAATTTAATTATGTCTCCCCGTTTTTCTAACCCTAGGTCGTTAATCCACACAAAACTCATCCCATCACGTACGACAAAGCAATTCCGGTCCTCAACTTCTCCAAATTTTTCCACCCCTTTCATTCAACAACCATTCAATTGAATTTGGAGTGTTATAGACAGTTGGAGTTCAAGTAATCAATTATCAAATTCAACACAAGAATTTTACTCCACTAGGTATTTATACAACTTTACTTCATTAATTTGTTTTTGACATTTCAATTTAGAATTTAGCTTTCTAATTTAGAGATCAATGGATGAATGATAACATGATTATTTTTATATAAAGAGATATTTAATGGTACTGGTAATGATATTGTTATGCAACGCTTTCAAAACATGAAAACGATTCGAGGAATAATGTAATATGTTGTATGAAAAACTTTATGGATTATATTAGTGTTTTGTTCAATAAATTCTTGAGATTTTTAATTGTGACTTTATTATTTGAGGATGCCCCCACTCATACAAATCTCTGACTTCGTCCTTGGTTGTTGGATAGTATTATACAAGGCAGGAACCACAGCCACTTGGCATATCCCTCTGCAACTTGGAGCGGAGAGAAAGTGAAACAAATTATCATACCAATATAAAAGAATAATATTCTGGGATATAATTGATTTTTTTTCTCGAAAAATAGTTGAAAAAGTCCTAGTATATATTGCTAATATACCAGAAGCATCCTTAAACCTATTTAAGCATGTGTTATTGGAAATCATTACGGTGTAAGACCTTTCATAGTATATCAGAAAAAGTGTTTGTGATATCAATATATTAAAGGGTTATTTAGATATAGATCCTTACAACTCTTATTTTCTATATAAAAACCTATCTAATTATAAACATTCAAATAAAATTCAATTTTAAAAGTGATTGCCTAGGAAATTAATTGACCTATCAATACAAAACATTTACAACTTATACCACAATATTCAAAATAAATTAATAAATATTATTACTCACCTTAATTACAATAAACAAATAATTTATTGCATATTATTACCCCTAACACACACATATATATACATATATACGTTCAAATGTATATTGTACTACCATAAGCTCAATATATATATAGTTTACCTATATATATAGTACTACTATACGTTCAAATATATATATGTATGCACAGTACTACATATATGATCAAACAGATTATACTAATTAATCTACCTATATGTAAATTTGTGATGAGAAAATAACATATATTTTGTAGATATTTTATTTTGTATGTATCATCATATATATTGGGCACATTTTATTATTATATGTACAGAATAATAGATAAAATGGTATTGAATAAAATAATAAATTTTTTTTTTTATGGAGGTACATTATTTTGGATACACTGGTTTGCTTTATTATGTAGGTAAATTATTTTGCATTTTTTTACATATAGTGGGGAAATTATTTTTTTTTTTTTAAGCAATCTAACATTTTAAAATTCGAATAGCAGGTGCATTGAATCAAATAACATTTTTTGTAGGTAAATTATTTTGCATGAATTTTTACGTATACCAGGCATTTTTTTTTTTTGGTTATATATATGTGTGTGAAATAATTTACCTACATTTATATGTAAAATATAATTTGTTGACTTAACTAAGCATGCATTATTACATATATTAGGCATGTTTTGTTGTTATTATATATTAGGCAATAAATTTATTATTTTTTATTTTCGTAAAATCATTAATTCTCCTTTGCAATCTGTATGGAACTAATTGTGTACATCCAATAGGGGTGTTTTGGGCATAGAAATTTTTTAAATGTGTAAAGTCAAATATAATTAATGAAGGGTTGTTTAGATATAGGCCCATGCAACTCATATATCTCAGATAAAAACCCACCTATGAATCAACATCCAATAAAAACCCAAAATTTAAATAAATTGCCACATAAGAAAACAAGTAACCTATTAATATAAGTTATTTACAATTTATGCCACAACTTTCTATAACTGTTATCATACAACCATTATTAGCCAACCATTATGGCTAACGTTTTTAACTATTTCTTTTGCCAGTCTAATAATGGATTAATATAATGCATTACAATATCTCTTAACTATATAACTTTAGATAAATTATTTTGCGAACACATAAACATACATATGATAGTAAAACATAAAATAGAAGATACATTTTTTGAAAAGTTAAATTGTAGGTAAATTATATTCATACGAAAACAAAATTGTAGTTACACTATTGTTGTTAAAAAAAGGTAAATGTTTTATGTAGTATTGTAGATACATTACTGTCACTGTAGGTAAATTAGTTTCATATAAAATCAAAAAGTAGGTAAATTATATTCATACAAAAATAACATTGTGGATACATGATTGTTAAATAAGAACAGGTAAACTTTTATCCTAAAATTTGAACAATAGGTACATTATTTTATTGATAAATATTTTAAAAGATAGACTATTTCACTAAAAAATATATATATTTAGATTGAAAAATGTTGTTAAGATTAAGAAAACTTGCAAATTAATTCCTATATCAAATTAGAAGCAAATTTTATGGAGTGAGAGAAACATGAATCAACCAAATTAATTACAAAACGTGGAAATCTTGAATTCTCATATAACATGCAATGCATTTAGAAGTACCTTTTTATATTTTTTTTATATTTTTTGTAAAATCATTAATCCTCCTTAAAATCTACATATGTTTAATTGTGCACATTAAACATGCAAAAAGGGGTATTTTAGGCATTCGAAAAATTTAAAATGTGTAAAGTCAAACATAATTAATGAATTTGCTTTTGTGGAGTCTAGTCATTGGGTTTTATTCGAGTAAAAAATTTATGTCGGGTTTTATATGAAAGAAGTTGAGTTTGAGGGGTTAAAGTTATATTTTCAGAACTCAAAATTACATAATTCATATATATATATATATATCATACTCACTCAAATTTCCGAGAAAAACTTTACAAGTTACAAATAAAATAGCAATAGAATCAAGATGAAAAGTAGTGTGAAAGAAACAAAGTATCCAACAAAAAAGAAAAGCTCAATTAACTTTTTAACTTTTAAACTGTTAATGTTTATATTTTGTAAGATGGGTATGATTGGCATCGACCTACACTTTATAAGCTTCTTTTTATTATTGAAAGAAACCGATGCAGAAGTGTATCTTATCCTTATAAAGCGGCTCTCCTCGGACTGCATAATGGTCTGATATCATACAACAGTCTGGAGATCACAAACTTTGAAGTGATACTATGTAGTTGAAAAACCATTGACTGATGCCTTGTTTTTAACAGTTTATTTACAAGGAGTTTATAGCTTAGTTGGGTAAGAAAACTCTTACTTGTATTTGAAGTCTCAAGTTCGAATCCCTTTTCTTCCAATGTCACGTGTACTAAAAAAAAATGCAATTTAATTCAAATTAAGTCTTATAAGTTATATGGATCAGATGAGTTAAGTGAATGCACAAGATGGTTCACATTTAATTAAGAGAATTAGTTGAATTCTCACAGGTAATATTTGTTGAAAGAACCAAAAACACATTAGATACTATTATCTTCTTTTGTTAGGGCCAAAAATTAGATGATAACTAGCTAATGCATTGATTAGAAATTCCTAAATGTTAGGAAAATCTCACATATATACATTGAATCTTGAATTCGTTGCTCACTAGGTAACCCTAATGTGACAATGACAAAATTCACCATATTTTTGTTGTTTGGTTTTGTGGCGGGTCGAATTTTCAAACAGTCAAAGAATTAACACACCACAGGGACAACCGGTCGGTCTGATAGTCAACAACACCGCTTAAACGTGTAGACCCACTACCCATATTTTAGATTTCACGTGTTTTTGTTTCCAGTAACATTTCTCCATGCCTATATATATATTTATAGGCACCGCCAACTTTTTAAATCACTACCATTCCTACCTCAAAAAAGAAAACAAGAAAAAAACAAGTCTAAACTCTTTCCTACTGCAGTGATGGAAACCAACGTTGGCCTTCTCTCATTGTGCTTGCTAGTCGCCTTCATTCGTTTTCTGATCAAACGTTTTTGGCATCAAAGCGATAATAAAAACGATAGCAAAGTATTCAAGCCAAACTATCCACTTCCTCCCACTCCAAATTGCCTAAAACCATGGCCCATTGTTGGCAACCTCCCCGAATTGCTGGCTAACAAGCCCACGTTCCGGTGGATACACAAGATGATGGACGAAATGAACACCGAAATTGCATGCATCCGTCTTGGGAACACGAATGTGATCCCCATCACTTGCCCTCAACTCAGCCGCGAAATCTTAAAGAAGCAAGACGCAATCTTCGCATCACGTCCGCTTAGCATTTCCACTTTTCTTATCACCAAGGGGTACAAAACTGCAGTTATGGTGCCCTTCGGAGAACAATGGAAGAAAATGAGGAAGGTAATAGCGAGCGAATTGCTTACTCCAATGAGGCACAAGTGGCTCACGGACAAAAGGGTTGAAGAGGCCGATCACATCGTCAAGTATGTGTACAACCAGTGCAACAACAATGAAGGTGGTGGCATTGTAAATTTGAGACTTGCCACTCAACATTATTGTGCAAATGTGATTAAGAAAATGGTTCTCAACAAGAGGTACTTTGGGGAGGAAATGGAGGATGGTGGGCCTGGTTTGGAGGAACAAAAGTATTTAGAAAATGTATTTACAATGCTTAACTACATCTATTCATTTTCTGCATCCGATTACATTCCATGCTTGAGAGGGCTTGACTTGGATGGCCATGAGAAGATTATCAAGGATGCCATAAGAGAAACAAGAAAATACCAAGACCCCTTAATCGAAGAGAGGGTTCGTGAACATCAGAAATTTGGCAATAACAAGGAGGCACACGACTTGCTTGACATTCTTATCTCTCTGAAAGATAAGAATGGCGAACCCTTACTGTCTCTGGAAGAAATCAAAGCTCAAGTCAATGTTAGTCTCTCTCTTACTATCTCTCTCAATTACTGTATTTTCATATGTATTACGTGCATGTTCTTATAACTATTAGGTGTGAACGCCTGTATATATAGATAAATATTGCTAAGAATGTAAATGAATCGCAAATGCGTCAATAACAGTACAATAAACACAAAAATCGTTGTGTAATACTACATGATAGTGCTAGGCAGACTAAATTTATAGACAAAATTTTCAAATTTAATGATATGTTACGAATAGGGGATAAGCGCATTCATCAACACTTAAGTAATAATTCAATCATCAACTTTCATATCATCATTTAGTTTACAATATTTTGTCTACAAATTTAGTCTCCTAGCATTACCCAATACTATAGTGTTGTAAGTGTTGTTGCTAATTCATGTGTAATCTCAAATGCGTCAAAAACGGTACCACCATGCAAGGTCTTTCCTTCCATCAACGTGGAATTCATTAACACATAATATAATCTCTTTTCTTTTTCCTCCATTCGACTAAACTGAAATGATATGCATCTTCTGCGAGTTTTTCTTAGTAAGTACCAATGAATGATCAAGAAATTAACATGTATATTTGTTGTGTGGATACAGGAACTAATAATGGCAGCAGTGGACAATCCCTCAAATGCTGCTGAATGGGCAATTGCAGAGATGATAAATCAACCTGAACTCTTTGAGAAAGCAACACAAGAACTCGATGCTGTGATCGGAAAGAACAGACAAGTTCAAGAGTCGGATTTGTCGCAGCTCAACTTCGTAAAGGCCTGCGCCAGAGAAGCCTTCCGCCTCCACCCGGTGGCACCGTTCAATGTGCCTCACGTGTCTATGGCCGACACAACCGTCGGAGATTACTTCATCCCCAAGGGTAGCCACGTGATTCTCAGCCGAGTCGGACTCGGCCGCAACCCTAAAGTTTGGGACGAGCCTCTCAAGTTCAAGCCGGAGCGGCACCTCAAGGACGACGGGTCAGGGGTAGTGCTCACCGAGTCGGAGTTGCGGTTCATTTCGTTCAGCACTGGGATGCGGGGCTGCGTAGCGAGTACACTCGGCACTGCCATGACCGTAATGCTGTTTGCTAGGCTTCTTCATGGGTTTACATGGCACGTGCCACCCACTGAGTCAAGCATCGAACTCACCGAGTCAACTAACGATCTCTTACTCGCGAAGCCATTGCTTGCATATGCAAAGCCACGTTTGCCTGCTCATGTTTACCAAACGAAATGATTTGAATTGGGTCAAGAGAATCAGTTTCCGTCGGCATGCAAGATTTGATTAGGATCTTGTATTAAACTAAATAAGGTTATATAATATTTACTATCTAATGGGAGTTTGCACAAATACCCACCTAAAAGTACTTAGGGTATGCAAATTTACCGCTAAGTTTTTCAATTTTTTTAATGTGGTATATTCCTTTTTGTGTTAAAATTAGTCACGTGTGCATTCCATTTTCTTAAGAATATTAATTATGCTCCTTCTATCGTTGCCAATTAAAAAAAAAAAGAAAAAAAAAAGAGAGGATATTATGCTCCTTTCAATTCTATCTTTTTTCTCATAAAGTGTTCAAGAAAATCACCGAAGATGTTCCAAATTGTAATTGAGTTACCATTTCATAAATGTGGAGATGAGTTTGAGTTTAAGAGTTTGAAATAAGGCCTGTTGCCGTTCAGAGACTTCGATTAAGTTAACTCGTCTCCAACCTATATATCTAAGACCTTGTTAAAGTCTAGCTTTTTTAAGTTCATAAATTATTCTTGAATTGATACAACAGAGAGATGGCTTCTAAAGAATCAGAGAGAGACAGATAGAAAGTGAGAGATCGCGAAAGGTGAGAGGAGACAGTAAAACATTATTTTGGTGTTGAAACTTGGACAGAGCTTAAACTGGATTCAATATGTATTTGTCCCGAGTATGGCTTCTAGTCTGAGTACCATGGGATGGTTTGAGAGAAAAAGAAAATAGGTGTGCTATTATTGAAGGTTGCCAACAGATTGAATGTGTTTGAGTGAGTGTGAGAGTTGCGTATAAAACTGACTTTTTAACCAAATGATTGTGCACCGAGTGGAATGCTGGTTCGGTTAAGTTCTTCTTTGTGTCACAAGTGAACAAGGAGTTACAATTTAGTGTGATTTTGCTAGTATTTGCCTAGAAAGTGAACGAAATCATAATAGAAATTAAAACAAGAAATTGAATGTGATCATTTTATGATGAAGTCAAGATTACAAACGTTTACAAAAGTAAATCTAGGTTGATGAGCTGAGCTACATGAATTAAAAAGAAAATAGGCTTGAAAATGTAAAGTAGTAAACTCCAGCAAGATTCAGGCCATCTTAATTAGTAGTTAGCCGATATCACTGGTATCTAACTGGACTCAAACGGAAAACATTCCATCAAAGAGGTGATCAGGGTGGTTGGAATTGCATCTGAACTGAATCATACCAAGGGTCAGAGCTATAAAAATTTTAGATCTCAGGAATTATAGGCAGTGTTTGCTTCATAGGAAGGCTTTGAGATTGTAGCTGAATAGCGAAAGGTTTTGCTGAAAAGAAGTTGAGTTGATTGAATAACCACTCAAGGTTTTGTATGATCGTATAGATTTAATTTGACAAATGTCTAAGCTTGAAGGCCTCTACCTCTATTATAGGTAGTTGAGAAGGAGCAATATGGATCTTATCATTGAGCAGGGGTAGATCGGCCATTTGGCTATCACTTACTGTAATTTCTGATTGGTGGCCTTTACCTTTGTCCTATGGAGTTTCAAACGAATAATTGCAATAACATCATTCTGCCAGATGATGTGTTCATTGACATTTAAGGAGGTCAGATATTTTCAGGTTTGGTCGTCCGCATGGCAGATGTGCTTTGGGGAGCACCATGTTTGAGCCTTTGGACGAGTTGAGGTGAAATGAGTTGGTCATTGGAGTGCTAAGATAAGATCCTAAATTAGGCTTAGAAATTGGTGGAACAGAATTGTGCGACTATGTAAATAAAAATAGATTTGCCTAATAGCAGGCCTTAGTTTTCTTTATGGCCCAAACACATTCAAAAGAAATTATTAGGTAGTACAGTACTACCACATCAGCATATAGTGCTTCCATTTAAAATTTAACATGTGTACGATTATTATACAACTAGACTTAAACTTAAAATTACCATAAAAATGAAATTTAAAGGAAACAAAACTGCGGCAAACTCGCATTCTTCCTCCTACCCTCTCTTTCCTCTCTCTCTCTGATGCACTGACCCTCGCACACTCGTTCGCCATGGACGAGAGCTTTGCCAGACTCGTTGAGGTTGCGCCTGGATGGAAACCCATGTCGTCTATTGATTTCCTGCAGAGGCTGCCGTCCGATTTAAAACGCGATGTTTGATTTTGGTTTATTTAATTTTGCATCTGAAGGTTTGATTTCTACTTTTGCATCTGAAGGTTTGATTTTCTGCCGTCCGATTCTAAAATGTGACGCCAACGCCGACAGCCAAGGCTGCAGAATTATTTTTCATTTTTCTCTTTTAAAGTGTTTATGTTTTAAGAATAAAATGGATATTTAATCCAACTGTAAATAAGTTGTATATATGGCAGATTTTGAGTATAAGTGTCACCGCTGGCGTGGTGATACGGTACCACTCTATAATTTCTTCACATTCAGCCAAAAAAGAGATGAATTGACATTTTTGATTTAGACTTAGTCAACACACACAGCATTTTTAGAGAAAATTCAAGCTAATTTTTGTGTTAGTTAAATGTCTATTGAATTTATTATTTTAGAGTTGAATGTTGTTATTTTATTATTTATTATTATTATTAATAGGGAGGGAGAAGATTTGAAACTAATATAATAATTTAGGAGATGGAGACTTTTAAACCCAGAATGCAAGAATAGAAACCCAATAACCTATCTACTATAATATTGAATCGCATGCATGCAAATATTATTTTAATTAACCTTGTTCGCTTCATACTCATATTACACCAAACTATATACATGCATATTTATATAGTCAATTCAATTATAAATAAAAAAAAATATGTATCAAATTCAACACCCAGTCGAATACATGAGACTAGACCATCTAAAATTATTTAAAAATCAAACATGAGACCTAGTCGATATATCATGGAGGGAAAGATTCACTAGTAAAAAAAACCCTCTTCCGCGCAAAACACATATCGTTGCACAAAGTCTTGCACAATGAAATTTTGCGCGACGAAATACACATCGTCATGCAAAGTCACTTTGTGCAACGAAACATTAAACTTTGTCACGCAAAGTCTTTACAAAAATAAAAAAATTATTTTTTAAAAACTTTGTGCGACGAAAACTAAATATTTCTTCGCCTAAACCCAATTTATTTTCTTTTTTTATATAATTTTATATTTTAAATTGTAAAATAAATTATTTTTACAGTTTTTATTATTTTTCAAAAACTTTGCACGAGAAATATTAATGTTTTGTTGTCACATCCCGATCCGGACACCCACCACAACTCGGGCTCGACTCCACCGTAGCACGATATTGTCCGTTTCGGGCCCCGACCACGCCCTCACGGTTTTGTTTCTGGGAACTCACATAAGAACTTCCCAGTGGGTCACTTATCATGGGAATGCTCTCACCCCCAACTCACTTAACTTCGAAGTTCCTACGGAACCCAAAGCCAGTGAGCTCCCAAAAGGCCTCATCCTAGGTAGAGATGGGAATATACATAAAATGCATAGAGGATTTACTCCCCTGGACGATGTGGGATTGACATTCGTCGCCTAAACCCTTTATATATATATATATATATATATATATATATAAATTTATTGTTAACCTAATTTATTTTCTTTATTTTTTTATCATTTTCTCTACCAACGAATCAACATTTCATCGCCTAAACCCTATTTATTTTATTTTATTTATATTTTAAATTGTAAAATGAAATTATTTTCTTTTTTTATTATATTTTAAAAACTTTGCGCAACGTATACTAATATTTCGTAGCATAAACTTTGTTTATTTTATTTTTTATTTAATTTTATATTTTAAATTGCTTAATAAAATTTATTTCTATAAATTTTGTGTGACGAACCAATATTTCGTCCCGCAAAATCGTTAAATTTGGCCGGGTGCTGAAAATGGGACGTGGGAAATTTAATTTTAAAATTTTTTTAAAGCTTTGCGTGACCAATATTTCGTCGCGTAAAGTTTTGCACGACGAATAAATTTTTCATCGCGCAAAACCCTAAAAATTTGGGTGGGCTCCAAAAATGGGGTGTGGGAATTTTTAAATTTTTTTTTTAAGACTTTGCACCAATCTTTCGTCGCTCAAAGTGATATGGTTTTTAAAACCAAAATAAATCCTTCACAATTTTCTCAATGTATCTCTCTAGTTCTCTTACATTTCATCTCTTTCCTTCTCCTCAAATCCGACCCTCTCTCTCACACTCACTCTCTCATCTCTTTCTCTCTCTCTCTCTCTCTCACTATCTCTTCTCTCCCTATCTCTCACTTATTCCTCTCTCCCTATCTCTCACTCACTCTCAATCTTGCCAAAGCGCGCGTATTTTATCTCTAAATTTTAATTTATTTCTCATTAATGTGTTTTTGGATTTAATTTTGGGTTTGGGTGGGGTTTGGGGTTGGGAATAGGGTGAAGGGTGGACTTTGGTGTCGGATTTGGGGTATGCCGATTTTAGGGGAGGTTATGCCCATTTTTTGGTATTATTTTATGTTGTTTTTTTGGTTATTTGACCATGTTTTTTTTTTTTTTTTAGGGAATCGTCAGGACTTTGACGGTGAAAGTTGAGGAGTTGAGGATTATGACCCTATCAGTGTCACATCCCCGCCTGAGCCCCCACCACATCCTGGGCTCGACTCCATCGTAGCACGATATTGTCCACTTTAGGCCCCAACCATGCCCTCATGGTTTTGTTTATAGGAACTCACATGAGAACTTCCCTGTGGGTCACCCATCTTGGGATTGCTCTTGCGCAAACTCGCTTAACTTCGGAGTTCCGATGGAACCCGAAGCCAGTGAGTTCCCACAAGGTCTCGTGCTAGGTAGAGATGGGAATATACATATAAAGCTTACAAAATCCACTCCTCTGGGTGATGTGGGATGTTACAATCCACCTCCCTTAGGGGCCCGACATCCTCATCAGCACACACTTCCGGCTAAATATTGGCTCTGATCCCAAATTGTCACATCCCAGCCTGGGCCCCCACCACATCCTGGGCTCAACTCCACTGTAGCACGATATTGTCCGCTTTGGGTCCCGACCACACCCTCACGATTTTATTTCTAAGAACTCACACGAGAACTTCCTAGTGGGTCACCCATTCTGGGATTACTCTCGTGTGAACTCACTTAACTTTGGAGTTCCGATGAAACCCGAAGCCAGTGAGCTCCCAAAAGGCCTCATGCTAAGTAGACATGAGAATATACAAAGGCTTACAGGATCCACTCCCCCGGGCGATGTGGGATATTACAATCAAACAATATCCCCCGCCGCCACCACCACAATAGACTTGTATTAGGATTTTATTATTGTAATTTGTTAATTTATATGTACAATTTTAATAAAATATATATTATGGATAATTTGATCACTATTTTTCATATGTAATTTTATTTTGAATATTTCAATTTAAATTAAAGTAATTAAAAAATAAAGTCATGCAATTAAAAGAAATTCAAAAAGTAAATTCAAAAAAATCTTGTGCTACCAAATATTTTGTCACACAAACAATTACTATAATTGAATTAAATAATAGAAATAATAAAACAAAATTTTAATTTAATTAAATAAACAAATAAAAAACAAAAACTTTCGTTGTGCAAAATCTTGCGTTACCAAATATTTTGTCTTGCAAAATATTAAATTAATTTAATTAAATAAAAAATACAAAATAAAAAACATTGCGTGACGAAATATTTCGTCACACAAAGTACATTTGCAGGATGAAGATTAATTTTCGTTGCACAAATCCTATCTTCATGAGCTTTTCGCGACAAAAATTTCGTTGCGCAAGGTTTTCAGCAATGAAATCTTACTTTGCGCAACAAATCTTATTTCGTCACGCAAAGTGCTTTTTGTAGTAGTGAGATAAACCATGTGGTTGAGACTACACTTAGTTTTGTAATTCAGATCTTCACTGGATCCTCTTTGTGAGGATCTCGGGGATCCGTGAATTGTGTCTGTTTATCGTACATCATGCGGTTATAAATCATTTTAAATATTTTTATTTAAAATTAAAACACAAACAGTATCTGACAAAAACTGACCTTACGATATACGATAAACGGATACGATTCACATATCCACAAGATCCTCAGAGGGATCCGAAGAAGATGCTGTTGGGGGAAAGATACACCGGGGAAAGAGATCCTTGCAGGTTTACTTGTTTGGAATACGAAGAGTCAAAAAACGACTAATTACTTTCTGTGTTGGAAGAAATGCGACTTCCCATGCGGAAATCAATAATAGGAGAGAAGGAATGGACGTAAGCCCTAATAAATCTATTTTTTGGGTTTGTCTTTGTTGGGTTATGGATTGTCCGGTAAAATTCACGTATTTTTTTGTTCACTTTTTATTAGAATACGTACGAATTAATAACTATAGCAATTTTAATATTAACAACATGAAACTTCATTTTAATCATTTGCAAGGATGACTTTTAGACTAAAATTATGAGTAAGATCAAATTTTTGTTTTAGTTCCTTGACACATTAAACACCTCATTTATTAATTATATTTTGATGTTTTAATTTTCTATTTTTCTTCCTAATTTTAATGCATTAATTATATTTCATTACAATTCTAATTTGTATTTCATTCATCGTAATATATTTTGTTGTAAACATTAGATAAACTAATTTTTGTTATACAATATATTTCGATGTACTTTGTCTTCTTTATTTAGGTACTTTAAATTCATAATAATACATTTCGGTGCATACATTTAGATACACACATTTCGGTACATATTTCAATACAAACATTTATGTACATTAATTAAATATAATATATTTTGGTACATATATTTGATGCACACATTTAGGTACATTAATTCAATATAATCCAAATAAATCACATAAGTCCGGATTTAACACCAAAATCACTTATTCCCCCTTCTAATTGGTTCCCTTAACTCACATAAATATGATTGGCCTCTTTCCCACAAGATGGGAGTTTAAAATAAATTTAAAATCTATAGTTTAGTAACACAACTTCAGATATTTGTATCCATACCGTTATAATTTGGACTCGCAAACGGCTTTCGCCTATGCGCTCGTAGTTTCAAGATCTATTCGAATACGTTATTTGTGACGATGAAAGGTCAACGAATTTTAGATAATTACTTTCCAAACTTCGTAACTAATTTAATTAAAATCTAAATCCAAATAAATTAATATAATTTCTCAAAAAATAATATAAAATCTCAATAATACAAATATGTAGATTATAATAGTGAAATCTAGAAACAGGATTTCACACTAACCGACATCAAGTTACAACTAAACAATTAAAATAATAACCTACTGTCGGCCTTGACCGACACCACAAACCATTAATAAAAAAATTAAAAAAAAGTCTATCTCAGTTCCTTTGTCGACGACCTCCACTACTATTTATAGCCGCTACTCAGTTCATCCTCCTCCATTTCGTGCTGCCTGCCGATCAACATGTCTTTTGTCTGGATTCTGGAACGACACCGAGTGAGTGAAAGATCACCGTTGCTTGATGGAACTGAAAAGATCCTTATACGAATGCTTAGGGGCATCAGGCTGCGAAACTATCTCCATAACCTTGTAAGACACTTCAGGATTCAGTAATGCCTCTACAGCCACTTCTACAACTAGGTCTCTAGAGATGTTGCCTTCCGAGAGAATGTCCTATCAAGAAGGATCATAGACAACATTAAGTTAAATCAACACGGGTTTTTGTACTTAACAAGATTAAATGGGGAGAGTTCTCAAAGTGTGACAAGGTGTTACCTTTGGCTCCATTACAAGATTTCCGGTTGGAGGGTCGTTTCTCAACCCACCGGCCCTTATAATCGTGTAGTTTATACCAGACTTCCTGATATAATTCTCTGTCTGAAGCTTTGCTATTAAGGTGAGCCTAAAAACATTGAGGAAGATGTAAGCTGGGTTGAGAATCTGCCCCATTGCTGCTCCATTGACCAATTTTGGGAGAGATGAAGGGAGAAGGGGAGAAGAACAGGAGAAGGAAAAGGGGAAGGAAAAGAAACTGGGGAAGTGATGGTCGCCACCATTGCGGTGAGGTTGAGGAGGAGAATGCTTTGAGGTTGTGTTGGGTTGCTGATGCTATTGTAGGAGGAGAGTGGGAGGTTTTTGAGTGGGCAACATCATGAGGGGAAGAAATTGGTGGTGGTGGTGAGGTGAGGAGTGATGGATGGAGAGATGCAATGAGTGGAGAGAAGATAGAAAAATGAGACAAAAGTTTGTGACAGAGAGGTAAAATAATAGGAAATGGAGATTTGAAATTTCCAGTGAAAAATTTTGGGAAATTTTTCAATCTCGCCTCTTTTTCATCTAAAAAATAGTAGGAAATATCCCGCCCAAAATTTTGTCACATAATAAAAACACCAACCTGTCAGCTACAACCGACATGAAGTTTTAAAATATTTAAAAATAATTATTAGTGTCGGGTAGAAGCTACATGATTCTTTTTTTAATCGACACTAACTTTATGTCGGTTGAAAGAGACACGGTGACACACCCCGACCGAGATCAGGGCGTGCTGGCCATCACGTAGAGGTGACGTAACCATGTGCACGGTGCGTAAGCTAATAAAACAATAATAGAAGAAGTACGAATAAATAAAAACTAGCATACGTAAGGTAATAGTAATAAGTGCTAGCGTAAGTGAGACACAAGTTCAAAGCATAACGCCTAAAGCAGTCCAAACTAAAATGACGCGACAACAGTACACCCGAAGGTGGCCCTACGCTGGTGATCGTCTGTCAAAAATGCCGGGAAAGCCCTCTGGGAAACCACCAACTCTGCTAGACAACTAGAACCTGGAGAGGTGCAAAACAAAAGCGTGAGTGAGCAAAAACAAAGCTTTTCGAAAACCATTTAACAAATAAGTTCTAACCCCTCGCCGTAAAACCTGTATACTTCCCAGAAAATAAACATATGTACATATATATATGTACATATATATATATATATATATATATATATATATCAATCATGCTTAAGAATATGCCATGTCGGAACCCCAAAATGAAATGCAAGTGCTCGGGTATAAATCATATCCATAACATATAGTCTGGCAGCCGGAGTCACCTAACGTGACATGTACGGCTGCATCTAGAGCTCAAATCTCAATCTCAATAACTAAACCTGCCCACGAGTCGGAACCACCTAAAGTGGTCTGTACGACAGGCCTGGGTGTAATACATATAAACGCTCTAGTGCTACGATCACGTGAAGGCTGTGCGAATAATCGCGGGTCACCTACGAGTCGGAACCACCAAATGTGGTCTGTACGACAGGACTGTGCACCTAACTTGGATCCAAGCTGAGCGTGTGGTGCGGAAGGTGAACAACACGTGAAGGACTGTGCCCTACTCGGGGCAGGAGCACTAACACCGGGGGTGCAGGTTATGAGCTCTCTAAGCATCTCGAATTACTACTGAATGTAAACATGAATAACACTTACCTGGCACTTACCTGTGCGTCCGCAGCACCCAATATGCATATGTATATATATACAACTAATAATGCATAAATAACAATAATCTAATGCATGGCATATGGCAAATGACAATTCAAATCAATTTCTGGGAAAATATAAGTATATAGGTATATACGGAAAATCAAAAGCCCACTCACTGGTAAGTGGAAGGGTCGTAACCCCTTGCCTCGAGTGACCACACTCGTCCTCGGGATACGTCTCACCTATATGCGAAACAACTATAAAAACGTTAATTTTAAAGCACATAACCAAACTTTAGAAATAACTTCTCATACAATGCTCAAATGGGGTGTATGAATACACCAACGTGATCTACTCAACCTCAGGAACATCCCCATATTTTTAAAATAATTTTTCACCGCTGCACGCGCCCCCACGCGCCGGCCAAGGCACGGCCACACTCGTCGGCCACGCGCAGGCACGTGCCTGGCACGCTAACGGCATCAACTGACGCCGTGAGGGAATATTCCGTTATCCCTAACGGTTTCCGTCAACGGCGTCAGGAATATTTCGTCGGACTTGATGGAATATTCCGTCGTCTTCTTCGGCGAGCCTCCGGCGCCGTCGCCGGTGCCGGAAAATCGGGAATTTTTTAAACGTTGATATCTTCTTCGTTTTTCATCCAAATTTCACAAAATTGGTACCAAAATGAAGCTTAGAACTAGAGGAACACAATCATACCACTTTCAAGGGCTAAAATCCACAAAATCTCACCTGAAAAATCAACCCAACTCCGGCCAACTTCGAAACTAGTGATCCCGACTTCCAAAACCATCAAACGAACCACCCCGAGCCTCCTAGGGACCTCACCAAGCTACCTACAAGTTTGAAATTCCCTAAAACGTGAGAAATCACGTGTGCATGAACAGTACCTCAAATCGGACATCGTGTATTCGACGTGAAAACGAAGGCGTTCTTACCTGAAATTGGACACCTACAAGCCTCACGAGTCTGAAAATGTGCTTGGATTCCACGATCTGTGAAGGTTCGATGGGTGTGTGGGTGTGTCCGTACGTTTCAAAGGAAATAGGAAGGGAATGGGGCTCGGGACAGATGCAGGGAAATGGAGAAAACAGAGAGGAAAATGTGTGGTCCACCATTAGCCAGCAACCAACCAAAAATAACCACAAAACGTAAAGAAAACGAACTAAGGGCAATCTTGTCTTTTCACACGTACGTTGTAATATTTTGGGACGGGCTGTCACACACGGTTTTCTTTTTATACAACACCACCATTTTAAAAGATTAAAAGTTATGTCAGTTATAAGCGACACTAACAGTCTATGTCGATTTTAAGTGACATAGACAGTTTATGTCACTTATACCCGACAGTAATTCTGACGTTAAGTAAAAAGGGTGTCGGAAATGTCTTATCTACCAATATTTTATATAAAACTAACACCAACTAGCGACACAACAAGCCACTTTTGTAGTAATGGATGCATGTTAAGAACATATAACTAATACTGATTGAGTTTAACCACCTAGGTATGCATGCACCGCGGTCTCTAACATGGAATCTAATTTAGATCACAATTAAGTTACCTTAGAACAACGTACATTGGTTGGATTATAAGCTTTGATAGACCTTCAACCGAATAACTTGATAGAATCAACCAATCTTAACAGCTACGACTCAACTTGCTTATGATGACTGTGGTTACGGACAGGGTAAAATTCCTCATAACTTCTCCAGATTAGAAAGAATGGACAACAGTGACTTACCACCAGTTATCCTTCTTTAAAAAAAAAAAATAATAATAATAAAATAAGAAAAGAGAATAAAAAAAGAACAATCCATTTTCACTAGATTCAATGTTTGTTGTTAGAACAGACACTTAAATAATACTCTTTCATATTGTCATTTAGTACTACGGTCTAGTGATATTTCTCTTCTCTTGTAAGTGAGGGGTCTTAGATTCGATTCTTACCAAATGCGAGTTTAAACCACATTATTGTTAGCCCATTGTGAGGTTAAATTCACCGCTTCCCCCTTAGACCAAGTTCAATGGTGGGCTAAAAGCCAAATTATCCTCCAAAATTTCCCCCCAAACCCACTCCAACCCAAGGGGAAATTTTGGGCTAAATGCTAAATGCTAAACCAATGCCAAATTCCCCCCAAAATTTAGCCCAGAAATCGGAGTGGACTCCACCCAATATTTATCGGAATTTAATTTTTTTTTAGATTAAAATGTTCATAAAATTAATTTACAATAGTCTACATATTTTTTTTTAAATTTAATTTAACAAAAAAAATACCCTAAGTTCATTCCTTAATAATCCCGGGCTAAAATTTTAGGCTAGAACGGTTGGAGCAGAAAAGCTATTTCTGGGCTAAAAGCTAAATTTTCCGAGCTAAAAATTTTGATTTTTAGCCCAACCATTGAAGATAGTCTTAGTGTAAATAATATTGTTTGTTAAAAAAAAAAAAATTCTTCCGTATTATAAGATCACTCCATTAAGAGTCAAGACCGTCGAAGCATTGAAAACTAACAATTGCTCCATCCAAAATTATTTCTTTCCTGCTTTTTTATTATTTTATCTTTGTGTGTCAAATTATGACTTACAAACGAGCCAAATAAATATGGGCTCGTTAACAAGTGCTTTTAAAATAATTGACAGTGTTTTTAATGAAAATACTTTTAGAATCAATTCTTAGTAAAATGACAATAAATCCTAAGGAAAAAAATATATATATATTGTAATGCTTTATACAAGAAGTACTTTAAATACTTTTGTAACCTAAAGACATTTTCTATAAAAATGGTTTTTAATCATTTATAAGCAGTTCAAGCCTTTGCATGTGGGCTAATTGGAGGCTTTTGAACGAAAGGGTAAGGAATTGGGATTATAAAGGGTAAGGTTCTAAGTTTTGACCCAAAAGAAAAAGAGCAAGGCCCAATGACCCGTAAATGTATACAGAAACCTTGTAGCCCAATGGCGGCTATGAACATGTTCTAGGGCTCAGATCCGATTCGTCACCGAGGCTCTCTCTCTCTCTCTCTCTCTCTCTCTCTCTCTCTCTCTCTCTCCCCTACACAATTCAAGCTCTGCGCGCTCTCTCTCTCTCCGCGCGACCATGCTTTCAGGGGACATTCCACCGAACCAAACCATATACATTAAGAACCTCAATGAGAAAATCAAAAAAGAAGGTAACTCAATCTTTGCCCTATCTCTTGTTCCCTTTGTTTGGTTGCCGAGAAAATCACAAAAGAAAGAAACTACAGGAAAATTAAATGTTGGGTCTCTAATTTTAAACTCACCATAGTAATTTATAGCACGCAAAATTTAAGCTTTATTTTTGTAATTTTGAATTTTAAGTTCTCTTAGTACTACTTGGGGTTTAGGGCTTTGGTTTAAATTGGTGAGTGCAAGCTCAGAAGCTAGGGCATTTGTGAATTTAGTGGACATTGGGAATAGTTGGTGATTGAGAAATTGGTTGCAGATTGAATTGGATGCTTAAATTTACTCAGGTTGAATTTGATTGATGAATGTAAAAGGAGGGTTTAGATTTAACCATTTGATATACATGGTATATTGAATTCTCAAGGGATTCAAAGATTTTCAATTTCATTTAATCAAGTTTATTACTTCTAGCGTCTCATCATGTAGTTTATATGAAGAGTCAATTCAAAATTTCATCATCTGAATCCACCAAACCAAATGCAACGCTAGACAATTTGTTGTTCGTAAAATGATTCTGGTTCACTGGGGTGCTTTTATGGATCATAAAATTGAGAAAGCGACGCTATATAGGCAAGAGAGTAATCACAATTTTCTTATCGATGTTGGTCTTGACACCTTGCTTCGGTTTTTTGCATTTGAATTTTGAATTGTCTAGCAAGAAAAGATGCTTTTTACTACCTTCAGGGATAAGCTTTGTATGTTAATAGTGGCATTCTTTTAACTTTGCAGAATTGAAGAGGTCCCTCTATTGCTTATTCTCTCAATATGGAAGGATTTTGGATGTTGTTGCCTTGAAGACACCCAGGCTTCGGGGGCAAGCATGGGTTGCATTTCTAGAAGTGGCTTCTGCTAGTAATGCTGTGCGGCAGATGCAAAACTTTCCGTTTTATGATAAACCCATGGTGAGTCTAAAATTGAATGAGCCCAGTTGTTAGCGTATTTAATACATGTTGGACATGCTTGTTACTAATCCAAATTCTATAACCATATTAAGCTTTCCTGCCTATGCATTATTCTTCCTTTTTTTCTCAATTTTTAGTTCTATATGTATGCGTGTTTATCGTTGAGGATGATTTGGTTTTAATTGTGAGCTTGAAGACCATATCCGGCATTGCATACACTGAAAGATGAAGTTATTGGTACCTCGAAGTTTACTTTGAAAGAAAAGAATCTATTTATGGAACAACGATGCGTTCACCGTAAATGTTAATATGCACTCTGTTTTTTAGTTGCTTTGTTTTTCTCAAATGATGGCATTTGATTTAACTATTGGGATATTCACATCCACTAAATTTTCTTATTAAAAAATGTAAATGTGAGCACAATTTATTTGGTGCAGCGGATTCAATATGCCAAAACAAAGTCAGATTGCATTGCTGAAGCAGAAGGAACCTTAGCTCCAAAAGAAAAGAAAAGGAAGCAGGAAGACAAAGGTGACTGAAACTTTCTTTGAATTATGAATATGCTTAAAATTAGTTATGATATGCATGAACCACCGTTATAGCATAAGAATGTAAAGATTACAATGAATGAAAGGACTGGCTTTATATGTTCCCAAGGATCTTAAGAACACATTGTTCCCAATTGAACCATCAGGGCATAGGAACACATTGCTTCCACTTGAACCACTGGGACCTATTGGGTAAATTAAGATAATATATTATTGACGTGGTTTTAATATAGTAAGGTCTCTTTAGGTTGGATATACATACAAGGTGGCTGATACAGTATCAAAATTTTCAGTTTCTATAGACAAAAATGTTTGCTCAAATTAGATTGTTTAATATCATGTGAGTTACGTTTTGAAACAAATCTGTTGATTCAGCTGAAAGAAAGCGGCGAGGTGATGAAGGGCAACAACCTGCTACTGAAACTGGTGCAGCTGCTGAAAATGGAGGCAGAACGGTAAGTGTTTTCGATATGATCACTGCTAAGCAATGCTATTTGATCTACTTCTTTGTCAACCGCCTCCCACGCTCTGAATGGTGGATTTATTTTAATTCTCTGTGCATTGTCAACAGGCCCCATCCCGCCATGGTAACTCAAATGCACAGGAAGCAGCAGCTCCGAACAATATTCTGTTCATTGAGAATTTGCCCCACGAAACCACTAGCGATATGCTCGAACTGCTCTTCAAACAGTTTGCAGGGTTTAGGGAAGTCAGGATGATTGATGCAAAGCCAGGCATCGCCTTTGTAGAGTATGAAGATGACATTCAGTCATCGATCGCCATGCAGGCCCTTCAAGGCTTCAAAGTCACCCCTCAAAACGCCGTTGCCATCACTTTTGCCAAGAAGTAACCGAAAATTACAGTTCCTATTCTCTGTAGTCGAGTGTTGTTTCGTTGCGGATATGTAATAGTTGAACAGTTGTTAATCTTACTGTGCTCATGCTGATCCTCAAGAAACTAAATGCAGAAGCAATTTATCATATGTTTGGATTCATATGTAATCGGAGTATTGAACCTAAATACATGAGAACTGGGTTTTGTTGATATTCTCCATTGAAAAGCACTACTCTTAAAGCTGCGAAGCATCATATTCCATCAGTTCAACAGCTCAGAACCATCTGATTTTGCTAACGCGCTGGCAAATTTTTACTTGAAAAATGTTAAGGAGATTAAATTTAGTCTTCCTAGTATTAATTTCTTTTTGGTCGTGACCCCAATGTGCTCGTGTATGCACGGGCCGTTTTTGACCCTTGATCGAGCGTGAATCATATACAGATCAACGGTGCCGTGCTACTGATCATAGTTCCGCCTGAGAACCATCAGATTCCACTTTCACGCTTCCTTTTTGGACTGTTGGTTGGTTGCACGTCACTCATAGGATCGTGAAATGAAATGCGTAACCTTGACATCTACGTTACAATCTCTATGATATTCTTTTTTATTTGTAAGTAAAAATTCTTTGTTTAACTCATTAATATGAATTTGTTAATTAATTATGATGGACTTATTCGTTCTACGTGTCGTAGCTCAAATTTTCCTATGAGAATAGAATATTGCCGTACCATGTGCGCCCTTCCCAGGATAGATTTTCCAAAAGAGATTTTTTTAGTGTGGTCGTCACACGAAATGATACATCATGTATTTTTATATAAATAGTGGGATATATGTTTTAAAATGTTAATAATTTAAAAATTAAAATTTTCTATTACTTATATAAAAACACATGATGTATCATCCGTGTTCCGGTCATAACTAAACATTTCTCCTCCCGCAGACGTTTACTTCCCCTAGCAAGAGAGAATAGAGTCGATGGTCAACAAGGATATTATCGTAATTTGACATCCGGATATCCTTCCCCCTCCCCCATATCCACCGTTTTCCGTTAATTTAGTTTGTCGCCTTCAAACTCTTATCGACTCAGGCGTGCACTCACTCCCATGAAAAAGCTCAGCCCCATCGCCGCCATGAACAACCCATTCGATTTCTTCACCGACGAGATCATCCACGCCGTCCTCGACCACCTAGACGACGACCCATTTACTAGAAAGTCCTTCTCTCTCGTCTGCAAGTCCTTCTACCTCCTCGAGCGCCTCCACCGCAAATCCCTCAAGCCCCTCCGCTCCGAGCTCCTCCACAGAGTCCTCCCCCGCTACCCTTCGATTTCCCACCTCGATCTCTCCTGCTGTCCACGCGTCAACGACCCCTTACTCGCCTCACTCTCTGCTTCCTGGAAGTCCACTCTCCGTTCGATCAATCTCTCACGCTCCAGACACTTCACAGCCACTGGGCTGCGTAGGTTGACGGAGAACTGTTCTTTTTTGGTGGAAATTGACTTGTCGAACGGCACTGAGTTGACTGACGCGGCGGCTGAGGCTGTGGCGGAGGCCAAGAACTTGGAGAGGTTGATGCTGGCAAGGTGTAAGTTGATTACGGATATCGGGATTGGTTGTGTGGCTGTTGGGTGTAGAAAGCTGAGATTGCTCTGCTTGAGATGGTGCATACGTGTCACTGATCTGGGCGTTGGATTTATCGCTATGAAATGCAAGGAGCTTCGGAGCTTGGATCTCTCTTGCTTGCCGGTATTCCTTTGCCTCTGGCCCTCTGTTTTTTCACTCTTCAGCTATTTGCATTTGATGGTGTTTTTTTATACAAGCAATATCCTACTTTCAAACTAATGTAAGTGCGGGGAAGGGTATTTGAGCTCGGGTGCATAAGTGTAGCTCGGATACGAAACATTTACCCCGATCTACAAACTACAATATGATTATAATTGTAGGTCTCATGACGTATTTTTCGCGTGCCTAGAGTAAATTTATCTGTTTCTTAAATGATTTATCATTGTGCATATGATACTTCGAAGGGGTAAGTTTTCGGTGGTGGATCATTAGTTGAAAGGATGCTTGCTTGATCTTGATTTGTTCGCCTACGGAGACATATTTGGGCGATGTAATTATGTAATCATGAACAAAACTAGGTACAAGTGAATTAAGATGGAGGAATGCACGCCCCAGTTGATCCAGTTTTATATTGGTAGTTAATGTTTTTCGCTTCTCTTGGTACAAGCCATTTCGGATGTTTTTATGAACACAAGAAAAACATGTATGCTTTTTTACTGCAGATCACAGAAAAATGTCTTCCACCGATCCTGCAACTACAACATCTTGAAGATTTGGTTCTTGAAGGATGCCTTGGAATTGATGACGAAGGCCTTGCAACACTTAACCATAGCTGCAAGTCCCTCAAGGTATTCATTTGCTTGTGATGCTTTACATAAGTTTACATAAGTTTAAGACACCGCTATTTAGTGATATATTATGTATTTATATAACATAAGGGAATCATAAATTTCCGCCATGCCCACTTTTCTAAAACTTGACGGTGAATGTCTACCTCATGAGCTTTTTCCACTTTAACAAAATTCAATTAAAAATCATAAGAGCAGCATTCATTTTTCCCCACTCATTTCAGCTGTATGTGTGTTAATGTTTTCACTAATTTTCTCTTCTGCAGATGCTTAATTTGTCGAAATGTCAGAATATCAGTCACGTGGGTTTGTCTTCTCTGACAAATGGTGCTGAACACCTGAAGCAGCTTGTCTTAGCATATGGTCCTGCGGTGAGTCTGAAACAGTGAAACCCTCTATGGTAATCACCTTAGTCACAATTTCTTTGCTTGAATCTGTTCTGACATTTTTTAAAATTTTGGTTTAGGTCACCACTGACTTGGGAAAATGCCTACTTAATTATTCGAGATTGAAATCAATTAGACTAGATGGCTGTTTGGTCACATGTTCTGCCACAAAAGCCATTGGAAGTTGGTGTGCCTCACTGACTGAGCTGAGCTTAAGTAAGTGCTCGGGAGTGACGGATGAGTGTGTCTCATTCCTTGTGCAATCCCATAGAGAGTTACTGAAATTAGACATCACTTGCTGCCGCAAAATAACTTATGCCTCTATAGAGTGCATAACAAGATCATGCACCTCCCTCACTTCCCTCAGGATGGAATCGTGTAGCCTTGTTTCTGAAGACGCTTTTCTCTTGATAGGACAGCGTTGCCAATTCTTGGAGGAATTGGATGTCACAGACAACGAAATCAACAATGAAGGTTTATTTCAAATCTAACATATCCTTCGAGTGATTTAACTACTTTTCGTGTGTAATTTCTATCTCTTCATAATTGACGACTTTTGATTTGTTTAGGCTTAAAGTATATCTCAAGATGTTCCAAACTTCGTAGTCTAAAGCTGGGGATCTGCTTGAACATTACTGATGATGGACTTTCACATGTTGGAAGTGGATGTCCAAAGCTTAAAGAGCTCGATTTGTACAGGTTAGTGACTTTAGCCATTAGTAGGTATTCCCTTCAGTCCTAAATCTGAAACGACTGACAGCTACATGATGGGGTGTTCTATCATTTGATGAATTGAATGATCAAATAGGTTCGGTTTGAACCTTCTTTTAAGACAGGATCTGTGTATCACCTTATTGGTTAAATTGCATTTGTTTCGTAGTTTCTACTAACTTTTCGATCTGCTGTCAAGTTTCTAAAACAAAAACGTTTGTTGGTGTTATCTCTCAAAATAATGTAGGCTCTGATATCCTGATTTGGCATGTCATGTTAATAGCTCTCAAATACCAATGCCATGTCGAAATTTATGCATTTTTCATAAGCTTTTTCCTCTGCTAGTAATTTTATTGGGATTTTTTCCTCTCTTTTTTCCCTTTAGGTCCACGGGAATAACTGATGCCGGCATTGCAAAAATGGCCTGTGGTTGTCCTGCAATGGAGATGATTAACATTGCATATAACGATAAAATTACAGATTCTTCATTAATATCGTTGTCACAGTGTTTGAGGTTAAGGATACTTGAAATTCGAGGATGTCCTCGTGTCTCGACAGTGGGTCTTTCAACTATTGCAAGGGCATGCAGGGAACTTGAAGTTCTAGACATAAAAAAGTGCGTCGACATCAATGATAACGCAATGTTTGCGCTTGGTCAATTTTGCCAAAACCTCAGACAGGTAGTTTTCCTTTCCACTGTGTCTGGAACATTAAAGTCGATGCAAAATTAAGACCATGGGTTCATTTCTTCATGTTGCAGATAAACTTGTCATATTGTTCAGTCACCGATGCTGGACTCTTATCTCTTGCGAACACCAACCGCCTACAGAACATTACTATTTTACACTTGGCGGGATTGACTCAGAACGGCCTTGCTGCTGCCCTATTGGCTTGTGGAGGCCTAACAAAAGTAAAGCTCCACACGTCCTTCAAACCATTGCTTCCTAAATATATTTTTGAGCACATGGAAGGCCGCGGTTGTGCGTTTCACTGGAGGGACAAGGCATTCCAGGTACTTTTAATTCTTTCGGTTCTGATGCAGCTCCATCATGTTAAGCAAATAAATTGAGTTAATTTCATGAATTTTAGTCGTCAAGAAACAAAACTTGCCCTTCGACATATAGCGTTTTGTGGGTAAGGACGACAACATAAGAACAACTGACGCCAATGATCAGAATTGTAGAAACTTTTGTTCTTTAACAAGTTCTTCCCTTATGTCAAATTCCTGACATCCCTCACTTCTTTGCTACTAATACCATACTGAATCACTGATGAGGGTCAAATGAGTGTTTTTATGTCTTGTTTTCAGGTGGAAATAGATCCAAATGGATGGCAACTGCATGTTGGAAAGACCCCCTGAAGCGACGTAGATTGAAAAACAGACATGCATATGAAGTGCTTGTAACCCTTTAAGATGTTTTTGATACTTCGGCCATAAAGCAAAAGCTTATGTTATCGATACATCGAAGAAAGGAATCAATAAGCGAGGCGATCACTTTTAGACGGTTAAGCAGTATTTTTCTACATCTGCAAAGCGGAAAGTCTTCCGGTCTTTATACCTTATAAGTTTATAACTCTTAACTAACATTTGAATTAGAGTCGGACACAAAAATTATTATTTCATTATCATTGATAACATTTAAATACTTTTATACTTTTGTACCAAACTTCATCAATTCATTTTGGTTTTTTTATTTAAGTTTCCAATAATTTAAATACTAACCTTTCTGCACGCACCTTAAAAAAGGTGCTCAGGTGCGATAAATTTGAGAGAAGGATCCTGGCGAGTTCATCATGCTTTCATCTTTGTGTATCACTGCGACTTCGACTATGTTACGATGTTGATCGTACACATTCCACACAACAAGATACACAAAGAGTAATGCTAGGGAGACCAATGTTTAAACCATTTGTAAACTATATGATGTGATACTAATAAAAAATAAGCACATTAGTCAATAATTAAGTAATAATCTAATTAAGTAATAATCTAATTATCAACAACCGATATATGATTTACAAAATATAATTTAAAGAGGAAATTGTAGCAATGATCCTTTAATTTTAACCCAATTAGATTAATGATCCCTCAACTAAAAATTTGTGACCATTGATCCTTTAACTCGTCAAAACTTGCAGTTATGATATTTTTTATCAACTCCGATAGAACTTTCGTCAACATGAGTCGCATGCCACAGACGTGAGGCTGAATCAAGGAGCAAATATGGAAACCAAATGAGAAAATTGTAATAATGGTCCATAAACTTAAACTCAATTGGAAAATTAGTACCCCTCAATTTTAACCCAAATGGGGCAATGATCCTTCAACTTTAGCTTAATTGTAGCAATGTTTATTTCAACACGAAGTTGACAAAAAAGATCATAGCTGCATGTTAATGAGTTAAGAGATCCTGTAGACATCAAAATTTCGGTGAAATGAATGTTGACCAATAATTAAAATTTCAACGCTCATGTATCACATAAATTTTACATGTAGCGTGTGACTCAACGAAAAATCGAAATAAATTGGAAAAGTCATCAAATAGAACACGTGTCAATACCTGGCAGAAATGATTTATTTCATCTGATTATTTAAATCCAAAAATCAAGTTTTGGAATTCTATAAATAGGAGGCCAAAGGCATTCATTTGAAAAAAAAAAGGAAGAAAGGAGGAAGAGGAGAAAGAAGGAAGGAAGGAAGAAAGGAAGGGAAATTGATATCACACCAAAACCTTCAAGTTTCGGAACTCTAAAGCTCTCAAGCAAATCCCGAAGGATCAAGAAAGCACTCTTCGTTCTTCGTAAAATCCACCTTCAAGATCAAGCCCCGACGACCCTTGAAGAACTTCCACCAACTCAAGATCAAGCCCCGACGGTCCTTGAGGAAAGTGTTCATCGTTCATCATCCATCAACCTTCAAGATCAAGCCCCGACGGCCCTTGAAGAACTTCCACCAACTCAAGATCAAGCCCCGACGGCCCTTGAGGAAAGTGTTCATCGTTCATCATCCATCAACCTTCAAGATCAAGCCCCGACGGCCCTTGAAGAACTTCCACCAACTCAAGATCAAGCCCCGACGGCCCTTGAAGAAAGTGTTCATCGTTCATCATCCGTTCATCCTAAGATCAAGCCCCAACGGCCCTTTGGATCAACAACCTCAACAAATCCACACATCCAATCGTTCTTCAAGATCAAGCCCAAAAGCCCTTGAAGATCCGTTCATCCACCAACCTTCAAGATCAAGCCCCAACGGCCCCTTGAAGAACTTCCACCAACTCAAGATCAAGCCCCGACGGCCCCTTGAGGAAAGTGTTCATCGTTCATCATCCGTTCATCCTAAGATCAAGCCCCAACGGCCCTTTGGATCAACAACCTCAACAAACTCATTCTTCAAGATCAAGCCCAACGCCCCTTGAAGATCCATTCATCAACTGTTCATCCTTAGATCAAGCCCCGACGGCCCCTTGGATCAACAACTCATCCACAAACCCACACCTTACGAAGATAGAATCAGAGGACCAAATTACAAGGAGATTGTAACCCCAAAATCATTAATACAAAAAATATATTTTGTACACGTATTCTTGTCGCTTGTTTCAGGAATTATTCGTGTTTACAAATTTGGCACGCCCAATGGGACTATCTCTACCTCTCATCCCTATCCTCAAATCATCAAAAACGCAAATGGCATCAAGAAAGGATCAAGCTGTTCCTGCAATCAAAGCAAAGAACAAGAACATCGTCGCCGCAAGTGGTGATATTTCGGGCATCATAACCCGAAGTAAGGCAAGAGATCTTTTTGCCACAGCTTCCGCCCCTGCATTAACTCTGTCAAAGGAACAAGAGCACCTGAGGTACGAGCCTGTGATCACCCTAGCCTCGCTAAGGGCATCAAAAGGGGAGAGCCCAAGGAAATACTCAGAGTCCCTACTCTCCGACGCTGATTCGAGCGGCAGTACAACCATGCAAGTCATGACCACGGGAGCAACTTCAATCGAGGAGCAGCTATCTCAGATGAATGAAGCAATCGCAAAGCTCACACGAACTGTGGAAGAGAAAGACTTGCAGATTGCTGCACTTGTCAACCAACTAGATGCGCTGCTCGACGTGAAAGTCGACCCAATTGTTGGCCTATTAAAGAAAGAAGGCGACGAAGAGGAGGAGCCACCAGTGGAGAAAGTCGAAGAGAAGCCGAAGCTAGACCAAGCCACGACATCCATGGGATCTCTCTCTATCCAGCAGCTACAGGAGATGATCGCAAGCACTATCAAGACACAGTACGAAGGAAGCTCGCATGACTCCGTACTGTACTCAAAGCCTTACTCCAAGAAGATTGATGCTTTGAAGATGCCAAGGGGTTATCAGCCCCCAAAATTCATGCAGTTCGATGGAAAAGGCAACCCGAAGCAACATGTCGCCCATTTCATTGAAACTTGCAACAATGCTGGGACAGAGGGAGACTACCTCGTCAAACAGTTCGTGCGTTCGCTGAAAAGTAACGCTTTTGACTGGTACACTGACCTCGAACCTGAGTCTATCAACAGTTGGGACCAGCTAGAAAGGGAATTCCTCAACCGTTTCTACAGCACTCGTCGTACTGTAAGCATGCTAGAGTTGACCAGTACGAAACAGTGGAGAGATGAACCTGTCGTCAACTACATAAATAGATGGCGTTCTTTAAGTCTGGATTGCAAAGATCGGCTTTCTGAAACCTCTGCCATTGAGATGTGCGTTCAAGGCATGCAGTGGGGACTACACTACATCCTTCAAGGCATCAAACCACGAACATTCGAGGAGCTAGCCACCCGCGCCCATGATATGGAGTTAAGCATCACCCGTCATGGGAAGAAAGAACAGATCGCCGACTACAAGAATGACAAAGTTTTGGGGCCAAAGGTGGATAAGGCTACGTGGAAACCCACCAAGGAAGCAATGACGGTCAACACAACTCCAGTTAAAATCCCTACACGAAGCAAGGCGATTCAAACCGAAGCTTTTCGTGATCAAGAGACACGTAGACGCACTTTGAAGGAGCTTGAGGAGAAAACTTATCCATTCCCCGACTCTGACGTGGTTGCCATGTTGAAAGACTTGCTTGACAAAAAGGTGATCGACCTACCTGAGTGCAAACGGCCAGAAGAGATGAACCGTACTGACAGTCCAAGGTACTGTAAATTCCACCGCTTCATTAGTCATCCGACGGAAAAGTGCTTTGTGCTAAAAGATCTCATCATGAAGTTGGCTCAGAAAGGGATCATCGAGCTAGATCTTAATGATGTGGTGAAGTCAAACTATACCACCGTCACTTCTGGCTCTTTGAACTCAAAATCTTCACCTCAACCGCTGGGGGCATGCTCCAAAACCATGCCAGTCAAGTCAAGTGAAGTTGAAGGATGGACTTATGTCACTCCAAAGAAAATACACAAGAAACATAGGTCTCCTCCACAAGTTCGCCAATCGGAAAGGGGGCAAAGCAGCTACTGTCAACCTTCAGAGCTACATGAAAGTATTGAGGATGATGAAGTTATGACACAAAGATCGTCCGTTGCCATCACAATGCGCGATTTCTTCCCCAAAGACTTCTTCAATCACTCAGTCAAGACTCCTTGCTATGAAGATTGCAAGGAATGCCCCTCTAAGATCGCTTGACAAATCCACAACAACAACCAAAAGCTCCTCGTTCGCACGAGCCTAAAAGGCGACAACCAAAGCTCCTTGTCCGCACGAGCATAAAAGGCGACAGCAAACGCTCCTTGCCTGCATGAGCTGAAAGTGCAAACGGCACCAAGACGCTCCTGGCCCGCAAGAGCATAAACTGTGTACGGCAAAATCATCATCAAAATCATCATCAAAACCACCACTCATTTGAACTACGTTATGACTTGATCTCTTCTTTGGAAGAGTACGTAGGCAACTTGAAACTTCAAAACTTCAAGTACAGTCACATCAAAATAAATAAATAAATGTTTCATTAAAGAAAGTCAATTTTATTACAAAAGAAAAGAAAAAAAAATACATATGTTACTATGTATTAGAAAAAAATTACATATTCTATGTATTAAAAAAAATATATATATATATATTCTCTATCAAAAATAAATAAATAAATAAATAAATAAATAAATGAATAAATAAATAATAAAATAATAAAATATAAAAAAAAAAAAAAAAAAAAAAAAGAGGTCGGCTCCAAAACTTTCCACTCCTCTTTCCAAAGCCAGCGAGCCCAGCTACAAATCCGGGCCCAGCTCTCAAAGCCCATCGTTACTCGGCTCCAAGACTCCACCAAATCGATCTCCTCTCTCTCATTCCTCTCTCTCTCTCTTCGCAGTCACCAACTCCTCTACATAGGTCTCCATCTCCGCATGATCGAAGTTCATCTCCTATTCAGCATGATTCCTCTTTGCCAATCAGGGGAACATCAAAGCTTCGAAGATCTCACTCACTGTCTACTCCCGATCTCCCTCCACCGTCGAGAACGTCTCCCGTCTGTGGCCGGGATTGCGCCGGGTCAAGCTCGTCCGCTGGCACTGCTCATCCCACTCGCCGAGTTCGCCAAACGACTCGTCGCACCTCAAGCTGCCGTGACTACACCTCCGATCTTCCCGACGAGTTGTTGGCGAGTATTTTGCACTTCCTCGGTGCCGGAGACCGGAAACGAAGCTAGCTCGTCTGCCGCCGGTGGCTGAGAGTCAACGGCCAGAGCCGGCACCGCCTCTCTTTCAGCGCCCAGGCCGGGCTTCGAATCGGTCACGAAGCTTGCTCTTCGATGCGATCGCAAATCGATCAGCCTTGACGACGACGCTTTGGTCCTGGTCTCGATTCGCTGCAGAAACCCCACGTGCCTCACTCCACCATCACCCGTGCCAGATTCGAGGAGTTGAACATGGATCTCTTCAGGAAGTGTATGGAGCCAGTCGAGAAGTGTTTGAGAGATGCCAAGATGGACAAGAGCAGCGTCCATGATGTTGTGCTTGTCGGAGGATCCTCTCTGCCTTCTTTCTGCCACCTCCGACACTACTACCACCCTCGCTCCTTTCGATCTCAAGAGTTTCATCAGACCTGAAAGTGGCCCCAGAAAACTTAGATCTTCTAACCAGCTTCAGGAGAAGAAAGATTCCCCTAAAAAAAAATAAAAATAAAAATAAAAAATGTCGTCTTCTTCGATATTTGCAGATCTGCAACAGCAGCCACCATGAAGTCCTGGGCTTCAGCAAGGCCTGAATTTTGATGAACGTTGGCCCTCTTCACGACCGGCTTGCAACTCGTGTCCTGACCTGCGACACCCCACCTCTCCGCAGCAGCAGATCGAGACCGAATTCCTGTAGCAACCACAAGCTCACTGATGCCGTTCTTCCTGAATCGAAAAAAAAAAAAAAAAAAAACTGGAAAGAAGAAGGCATAGTGACTCCAGTTAAAGATCAAGGTCACTGTGGATAACTCTGTTTTTCAATCCGAAGGTGTCGATGATTACAATGTGAAGTTTAGGGGTAAGACAGTTGTTGATTATGTTGCTGAGAAATATAAGAAAGAAGGCATAAGCTTTCTCATTGGAGATCTTGAGGCTAGTCAGGGCGCCTTCCAGTATTTTGGACGCAAAGAAGACCAGGTGCCTCTCATCATCATCCAGACTCCCGGTGGCCAAAAGTTTTTGAAACCAAATTTGCAGACAGATCACATAACATCATGGGTTAAGGAGTACAAGGATGGGAAAGTATCACCATACAAGAAGTCTGAGCCTATTCCTGAGCAAAACAATGAGCCTGTCAAAGTAGTCGTTGCTGACAGCATCCAGGACTACATCAAGTCTGAGAAAAATGTGTTGCTTGAGTTTTATGCTCCTTGGTGCGGACACTGCAAGAAGCTTGCTCCTATTTTGGATGAAGTTGCTGCCTCGTATGAAAAGGATTCCGATGTCGTTATTGCAAAATTTGATGCCACTGCAAATGATGTGCCTAGCGACTTTGATGTCAAATACTACCCAACTCTGTACTTCAAGACGGCGAGTGGAAAGGTCTTGTCGTATGACGACGAAGATAGAACTAAAGAAGCCATCATTGCTTTCATTGAAAAGCCACGAGACTTCCTGCGTTCACCACCCTGTGAATTTCCAATCAAATCCAAGAGCTCTGCTCCCCTTTTTCTGCAACAAAAGAACATGAAGTCAGTAAGAGAGGTTAAGAGAAAGTGACGGAACACGACAAGGCACTTCTTCCTCTCCATCCATGCAACTCCTCGCCTGCAAGTCCCTCAGCTTCACTCTGGCCACCTTGATCAAAATCAACGAAGAGCTTCATTGACCGCTGTCAAACGACTAGCCGGTCTTCAAACTCGACGCTTTGCACTACTTCAAGCTCTGGCTGCTTCTGCATCTCCGCCATGGCTGCTGCCTTTGAATGTGATCAACAAAATCAAAGTTTGTCAACTCACACCTAAAGATCTCATCCGTCTGCTTGCCTCTGCTGCTGCCTTTGAATGTGATTGACAAAATCAAAGTTTGTCAACTCACACCCAAAGATCTCCTCCGTCTTCTCTCGGACTCGCCTGGGTTTTCACCCACGAACTCAGCCTTGCAGATGGCCTTATAAAGAAAAATAAAAAAAAAAAAAAAAAAAAAAAAAAGAAAAAAGTAGCAATGATGATGCTGGGAAGCATCTTTCAAAAGAATAATAAAAAAATTAAAAAAATATATATATATATATATATATAATTATAAAGGCTTCAGGCGTGAAGGTAAAAGAATAAAATAAAAAAAAAGGGTGGCAATGATGATGTTGGGAAACATCTTTCAAAAAGAATAAAATAAAAAAAAAGATAGCAATGATGATGTTGGGAAGTATCTTTCACCAGCTGCCAACTGTTTAAATTAGCAGATTGAAGGGCATTCGGCTCTCACAATGCCAAAAGCTGAAACCACTCACAATGGCAAGCTACTGTTAGCAAGTCAAGAAGAAAATAAGGAGAAGGTGGTGCACGACATCACTTGCAAAAGTGTGTTAAAAAAAAAAAAAAAAAAAAAAGGAAATAACACATCTTGGTGATATATATGTTTTATTGGTATTTAGCACAATACACTGAATAAAATAAAACATGTACATTGATCTCCGAGAAATTACAAGGGCATACAAAAAAAAAAAAAAAAAAAAAAGAAAGATGGAGCTTTCACAAAGGATGTTCACGTGAAGCCCCAATACTTGGCCAAACTCCAGGAGCAGGAGGCACCGAAGATAGATCATTCGAGGCCCCAATACTTGGTGGAACGCTTGATGACGCAGGAAAAAGATGTCTCTGGAAGAAAGACGCAAGCCTTTGACGGTCACTTTGAATGCGACCTTGAGATTCTTGCATCTCATCAAGCTTCCTCTTCATGCCCGACGAATAGTTATTTGCAAGCACATGCAAACTTCTATTCTCGTACTTAAGCTGTTTAATCTCCTGCTTAAGATCTTCCACCTCTGCCATCAACGATTCCACCTGACGGGACCGAGCAAGCAGGCGTTGGCCCATGTTGGACACAGAGCCTGCACACTGAACACTAAGAGCGAGGGACTCTTGAACGGCCAACTCATCGGACCGTCCTGACAGCAGCCTACTATCTTTTGGAGTAAGGAGGTTCCTAGCTACTATTGTAGCTGTTGTGGCGTCCTGCATCACGGAGTCTTCACCTGTAAGAGGACCGTTAGAAGATAAGAAAGAAGGGCACCATACATTACCTTGAAGCGGCGCAACCGGATCACTGCTGAGACTCAATTCTAAGCTAAGGTTCGATGGGTTAGCCATTTTTCAAAGGTGTTAAAAGAGATGGGTGGATGGAGTTAAAACTCAAAAGGCCGGAGATGATTTTCAGGAATGAGCAACCTTCAAAGTATGCATATTACAGGTGATCAATACCTCTATAAAAAGGAAGAGGCGCTTGCTCAGAAATCGAAGAGGCGCTTGCTCAGAAATCAAAGAGGCGTTGGTTCAGCAATCGAAGGGCCGCTTGTTCAAAAGTGAAGAGACATCGCTCTGCAAATCTCAAAAGCTGGATTTTCCGGCATAAGTTAGGCGACGCTTTCTCGGCTTTCCAGAAAACGCGTTCAACTTTGTCAAAAGATCTCCGACAAAGTTGAAAACACGTGGAGGCTGGCGACGCTTTCGCGGCTTTTCAGAGCACGGGTGCCACTTTGTCAAAAGATCACGTGGAGGTCATCATCGCAGCTACACATCTTTAGCTGACAAGCGCAAAGTTCGGCGACGCTTTCTCTGCTTTTCAGAAAACGCGTGCCACTTTGTCAAAAGAGACGCTCGTTCAGAAATCGAAGAGGCGTCGTTCAGAAATCAAAGAGGCGTATTCAAAGATCGAAGAGTCGTCACTATTTCAAAAAGCCGGATTTGCGGGATCAAAACGTTTGTCGACAAGGGTAAAAGAACAGTACCATCACTTGCTATTGGGAAATCCCTATATATGTCGACCTTCATCTTTTATGGCAAGACAAACCTGCAAACAAGAAAAAAAAAATGCCCAACTCTTCCTCACCTCCGAGAGTACACTCCCAGCAAAGCATCTCAAAATGCTCAGTTTTCTTCCTCTCCGGGAATACCCTTGCAAACAAATGACACCAAGGCAAAAGTATCTCATATCATCAAGGGCGAAAGCAAAGGTATCTCATATCATGCTTTTCCCCTATCTTTTCCTTTGCCCTTGTTCTCACCTGCCAGGACAAGGACAGAGAAAGCAATATGTCGGAACCTCCACTCAAACTTGCGCTGCCACCAAGAAGTGATGGTCCATTCAAATGCAAGGTTTGCATTCAACTCCTGCATCAGGAACAAATAGTACAAGAGAAGATGCTAAACCTGCATAAGGAAATACCACTTCTGCAAAGGGGAGCAAGTAAGGCAAGTGAAAATGATGCATTGAAGCATGTGGAGACAAGCTACAACTACATATGCTGAGCTATCCTCTAACCCTCTTCAATACGAATTGGAGAGATTGAACAAAGAAACAGAAAAAAAGGAGTAAGCTCAGACCTTCGGGGAAGACCAAAAGAATCCTGCTGCCCAGTTCAAGAGTAGCACAAAGGAAAATCAACGATAGGGGGAGACCAAAAGAATCCTGCTGCCCAGTTCAAGAGTAGCACAAAGGAAAATCAACGATAGGAGGAGACCAAAAGAATCCTCCAGCCCAGTTCAAGATCAAGCCTCGATGGCCCTTGAAGAAATCACAAGTCCGATTCAAAATCAAGTGTTCACCACCCTTGAATCAAATTCAACTCCAGATCAAAGGAGTAAGTTCAGACCTTCGGAGGAGACCAAAAGAATCCTCCAGCTCAGTTCAAGATTAAGCCTGCGAAAAATCAACGATTGGAGGAAACCAGAAAATCTTCCAGTCTAACTTAAGATCAAGCCTCGATGGCCCTTGAAGAAATCTCCAGCTCAATTCAAGATCAAGCCTCGACGGCCCTTGGGTTGACATCTACATTAAGGGACCTCAAAACGCATCTTCTACACGTGACAAGCACATGTCTACGACGCGCCTTGAAGTGGGGGCATTTGTAGACATCAAAATTTCGGTGAAATGAATGTTGACCAATAATTAAAATTTCAACGCTCATGTATCACATAAATTTTACATGTAGCGTGTGACTCAACGAAAAATCGAAATAAATTGGAAAAGTCATCAAATAGGACACGTGTCAATACCTAGCAGAAATGATTTATTTCATCTGATTATTTAAATCCAAAAATCAAGTTTTGGAATTCTATAAATAGGAGGCCAAAGGCATTCATTTGAAAAAAAAAGGAAGAAAGGAGGAAGAGGAGAAAGAAGGAAGGAAGGAAGAAAGGAAGGGAAATTGATATCACACCAAAACCTTCAAGCTTCGGAACTCTAAAGCTCTCAAGCAAATCCCGAAGGATCAAGAAAGCACTCTTCGTTCTTCGTAAAATCCACCTTCAAGATCAAGCCCCGACGACCCTTGAAGAACTTCCACCAACTCAAGATCAAGCCCCGACGGCCCTTGAGGAAAGTGTTCATCGTTCATCATCCATCAACCTTCAAGATCAAGCCCCGACGGCCCTTGAAGAACTTCCACCAACTCAAGATCAAGCCCCGACGGCCCTTGAGGAAAGTGTTCATCGTTCATCATCCATCAACCTTCAAGATCAAGCCCCGACGGCCCTTGAAGAACTTCCACCAACTCAAGATCAAGCCCCGACGGCCCTTGAAGAAAGTGTTCATCGTTCATCATCCGTTCATCCTAAGATCAAGCCCCAACGGCCCTTTGGATCAACAACCTCAACAAATCCACACATCCAATCGTTCTTCAAGATCAAGCCCAAAAGCCCTTGAAGATCCGTTCATCCACCAACCTTCAAGATCAAGCCCCAACGGCCCCTTGAAGAACTTCCACCAACTCAAGATCAAGCCCCGACGGCCCCTTGAGGAAAGTGTTCATCGTTCATCATCCGTTCATCCTAAGATCAAGCCCCAACGGCCCTTTGGATCAACAACCTCAACAAACTCATTCTTCAAGATCAAGCCCAACGCCCCTTGAAGATCCATTCATCAACTGTTCATCCTTAGATCAAGCCCCGACGGCCCCTTGGATCAACAACTCATCCACAAACCCACACCTTACGAAGATAGAATCAGAGGACCAAATTACAAGGAGATTGTAACCCCAAAATCATTAATACAAAAAATATATTTTGTACACGTATTCTTGTCGCTTGTTTCAGGAATTATTCGTGTTTACAGATCCATGGTCACATATTTTTAATTGTGAGACTATTGCTCCAATTAGGTTAAAGTTGAGAAACCATTGCTACATTTTTCTCTGATTTAAATTGATGGTCTCTCTAACCTTTTTTTTGTTTTGAGGGAGGTCTCTCTAACATTATCCATACACAAATTATATACTCGACAGCCAAATCACTTAATACTTGCGTAATCACCAGATAAATAGTACAACGCTACACTCCATGTTACTTTGGTTATTTCGTGTGCCCTTTCAAACTAATACTAATTTGTAAGATTTCAAATCATAATTAACGTAGCATTATTTTAATTACTAGTTATAGGCTTATAGCGCCAAAACGATGCCAGGCACAGATTTATCATCCGAGAGCTTACTCTGCCAGACGCTCTGGCAAGTCCCCCGCTGTGATCTAATATCCGGCGAGGATAACCGCGTGACCGTCACGGAC